GGTTGAGCGGACGCTGAGTATGTGTATTGGGGACAACTGAGAACCACTTGACCACAGCACCGACCAAGGAAAGCCTTGTCCTTCTGGGACGAGAAATTTAACCATTCGTCCCACATCCGCAATACAGATCAGCTTGAGGGCGATAAGGAGGACTTAGAGAAAATGAGCCCCTTTTCAATTGCGAAGGGGGTTGAATCTCTAACTAATCGTCTGTCCGCTTTGTCTCTCATCAATGAAGATAAAATTCGCGGAATGGCCCGAGAGATCAAGTAGCAGGGAAAAAAGATCAATTCCCTCGAAGAGGCCGTGAAAAAAGGGAAGGCGGATGCGAAGTGGGCAAAGTCTGAGAGGGATAAGTTGCTTGAGGGTCGGCGCGCCTTTGATGACGAGAGGAAAAATTGGGCTTCTGAGAAATCCATTTTGGAGAAGGAGCTTGAAGAACTGAAAATTGCCCGAGACAAGAGTGTTACCGCGGTTCAAGCTCTTGAAGCCAAGTTGTCCTTAGTGAGAACTGAAGTTGAAGGATTGCAGGTTGATCTTCACTCCACTAAAATGGATTCGTTGAAGAAATTCGTGCAGGGGTTTGACGCAGCTACGAGTCAAGTAAAGTTCCTTCATCCTGATATTGACCTTGAAGGCCTTGGCTACTTCAAAGAAATTGTGAATGGCGAGCTTGTGGATCCTCCTGAAGACGACTGATTTTTACTTCAGCACATCATCCAACTTTCATGTTTTGTGCCTTTGGTGCGTTGTCACCTTGGAACTCTATTGTACTGCTGTTAAAACTTTATGAAGCTTTTTCTTTTCTCGTAGTTTCATTGTTGGTTATTCTTATATGCTCGTTCTTTCCCCGATTGTGATGAAAATATGAAATATTTCTAAGTTATATAAATCGTACCATACTTGAAAAAGTCATCCTAGTTTCGACGACAACAAAAATAGTAGATTTTTCTAAGTTTATAAATGAAGCTCGGTGATAACAGTCGGGAAAATTTATCTAAGTTGAAAAGTGATTCTCAATGCAAACAGGCGTCCAAATACCGATTAGAAAATTCTAGAATTTTTCCACGTTAAAAATTGAATAAATTGAAAATGAAAGAAACTAGTCGTCTAAAATCCGACTAGAAAAATGCCATAATTTTTCCAAGTTAAAAATGGCAAATGAAAGAAAATAGTCGTCCAAAATCCGACTAAAAAAATGTCATAATTTTTCCAAGTTAACAATCGAAAATGAAAGAAACTAGTCGTCCCAAATCCGACTAGAAAAATGTCGTAACTTTTCTAAGTTAAAAATTGAAAATGAAAGAAACTAGTCGTCTAAAATCCGACTAGAAAAATGCCATAATTTTTCCAAGTTAACAATTCAAAATGAAAGAAACTAGTCGTCCAAAATCCGACTAGAAAAATGTCGTAACTTTTCTAAGTTAAAAATTGAAAATGAAAGAAACTAGTCGCCTAAAATCTGACTAGAAAAATGCCATAATTTTTCCAAGTTAACAATTGAAAATGAAAGAAACTAGTCGTCCAAAATCCGACTAGAAAAGTGTCGTAACTTTTCTAAGTTAAAAATTTGAAAACGAAAGAAACTAGTCGTCTAAAATCCGACTAGAAAAATGCCATAATTTTTCCAAGTTAACAATCGAAAATGAAAGAAACTAGTCGTCCCAAATCCGACTAGAAAAATGTCGTAACTTTTCTAAGTTAAAAGTTCGAACCTCAATGCAAACTGTCGTCCACATCCCGAATAGAAGAAGAGCAAAATTTATCCTAGTTAAAAGTTTAGTTTGATGAAAACAAACTCGGTAGTATTCTGACTGCCATGACCGAAAGATTTTCAAAGCGGGCGATGTTCGTCCCAATTCCGAGTTGATATGATGAGTCCTCCTAGTTAGGGAGTCGCCATTGTTTGACCAGTCCGACTTTTGCCGACAAATCACGAGTTTGTCTTCGAGTTATTTATATTTGCCCAGTCGGACTTTTGCCGACAATCACGAGTTTGTCTTCGAGTTATTTATACTCGCCCAGCCGGACTTTTGCCGACAATCACGAGTTTGACTTCGAGTTATTTATACTCGCCCAGCCGGACTTTTGCCGACAATCACGAGTTTGACTTCGAGTTATTTATACTCGCCCAGCCGGACTTTTGCCGACAATCACGAGTTTGACTTCGAGTTATTTATACTCGCCCAGCCGGACTTTTGCCGACAATCACGAGTTTGACTTCGAGTTATTTATACTCGCCCAGCCGGACTTTTGCCGACAATCACGAGTTTGACTTCGAGTTATTTATACTCGCCCAGCCGGACTTTTGCCGACAATCACGAGTTTGACTTCGAGTTATTTATACTCGCCCAGCCGGACTTTTGCCGACAATCACGAGTTTGACTTCGAGTTCTTTATACTCGCCCAATCGGACTTTTGCCGACAATGACGAGTTTGTGCCTTTAAAATAAGACATGTTAGGAGTCAATAATAGAGAGCAATGAGATTGCATTTATTAGAATTGAAAACGTGGTGCCTCGTTAAAAACCTTCTCAGCAAAAACCCCTCATATTTTTATGGGGACAAAATACTGAGTTAGGAAAAGAGTGCACCTAATACAAATGGACAAAGAAGCTAGCTATAGTAAAAGCGCAAATTTGCAGCGTTCCACGTCCTCGGTATCAACCCTCCATCGAAGGTCCTCAGTCGGTAAGCTCCTTTGCTGACCACATCATCAATTTTATAGGGGCCAACCCATTTAGGAGACAGCTTGTTCTTCATCTGTGTTAGCTGAGCAAGCCTCAAAACTAGGTCGCCTACGATAAAGTCTCTTGGATTCACCTTTGTGTTGTATTTGAAGGCGGCTCTCCTATGGGCAGCTACTTGATTTATTCTTGCTTTTTCTCTTGTCTCTGAGATCAAGTCTAAATCAACTCGCCTTCCCTGGTCGGATTCCTCTTCAGAAAAAGCCGTAGCGCGCACTGAAGGCTCTGTAATTTCGATCGGGATCATGGCGTCGGTTCCGTACACCAGATTGAAAGGAGTGTCTCGGGTCGTTGAATGAACAGTCGTGTGGTACGACCATAACACTCGGGGAAGCTCTTCCACCCATGAAGCGCCTGACTCTTGCACACGCTTCTTCAAACCTGAAAGGATTACCTTGTTGGCCGACTCCGCCTGGCCGTTAGACTGTGGGTGTTCAACAGAAGTGAATGCCATTCGGATGCCGACCTCTTTGCAAAAATCACGAACTCTTGTACTTGCAAACTGTGTCCCATTATCGGAAATGAGCATTTGAGGGACTCCATACCTGCACACCACATTCTTCCAAAGAAAAGTTCTTACCTTCTTCGCTGAGATGGTTGCAACTGGCTCCGCCTCGATCCATTTACTAAAGTAGTCAACCGCCACTATTAAGAATTTCAGTTGCCTTATCGTAGTCGGGAATGGACCGAGAATATCAATCCCCCACTTATGGAAAGGCCAGGGAGATAGGATTGAATGTAGTCGTTCGGCCGGGGAATGGTGTAAAGCTGCATGTCTTTGGCATCTGTCACACTTTTGGACCCAATTGACACAGTCATTCCTCAAAGATGGCCAAAAATACCCGGCTCGGACAACTTTGTATACCAGAGCTCGGCCTCCTATATGGCTTCCGCACATTCCACTGTGTACCTCATTCATTACTCTCTTTGCTTGCGGCATGGTCAAACATCTTAAGAGGGGAGAGCTGAAGCCCCTTCGGTACAGTCTTTCGTTGATGACTACGAACCTGGCCGATTCCCTTTGCACCAACGACGCCTCCCTCTTGTCTTCTGGTAACTCCCCCCGAGTTAGATATGCGATGTACGGTCCCATCCACGAGTTAAGCTCTTCTTGGATGAACAGGACGTTCCCTTGCACCTGGTTTATACTTGGTTGTGCTAGCGTCTCTTGAATGACTGACCGAGTAGTTCCTGGTTTCTTTGTGCTTGCAAGTTTGGAGAGCAAGTCGGCCCTCGAATTTTGCTCTCGGGGGACGTGGTTAAGAGTGAACTCTCGAAAATTTTCCGATAAGAGCCTAACCTTTTCCAGGTACTTGGCCAGTTGAGGGTCCTTTGCCTGGAAGGTGCCGACTACCTGCCTTGTGATCAGTTGGGAGTCACTCCGGGCTGATAGGCTCGTCGCTCCCATTTCCTTTGCCAGTGTCATGCCGGCCAACAACGCTTCGTACTCGGCTTGGTTATTGCTTGCTCGGAACTCGAACCGTAATGATTGTTCCAATAAAATACCTCCTGGTCCTTCCAGGACGATCCCTGCTCCATTTCCCCCAAGGTTTGAAGCTCCGTCTACTGATAAGATCCACTGTGTCTCTTCAGTACTACCTTCATCGGCTGGTGAGGTTAGTTCCGTCACGAAGTCGGCTAGCGTTTGAGCTTTGATTGCTCCTCTCGGCTCGTACTTGATGGAATACTCTGATAGTTCCACAGACCACTTCATCATCCTTCCTGCCAAGTCGGGCTTCTGCAGCACTTGCCTGATCGGATGGTCTGTCCGGACTACGACCTCATAACTCTGGAAATAATGTCTCAGCTTGCATGCCGTGACCAGTATCGCCAAGGCTAACTTTTCTATCTTCTGATAACGGACCTCTGCTCCTTGTAAGACCCTGCTAACAAAATAAACGGGCAATTGTGAGTTACCTGTTTCCTGTACTAAGACTGTGCTGATGGCGCTATCGGATGCCGACAGATACATCAGTAAGGGGAGATCGGCCTGCGGTTTGGAGAGTATTAGCGGTGAGGTGAGAGCCTGCTTGAGTTCGCCGAATGCTCTCTCACATTCATCTGTCCACGCAAACTTGTCATTTTTCCTCAAACATTGGAACAAGGGGAGCGACTTGTCTGCTGCCTTCGAAAGGAACCGAGAAAGGGAGGCCATCCTCCCTGTAAACTACTGTACCTCCTTTACTGTAGTTGGGCTTCTCATACTGACTATAGCCAAGCACTTATCGGGATTTGCCTCGATGCCACGATGCGTCAGTAGGAAACCGAGGAATTTTCCGCTTGGACGCCGAAAGAGCACTTCGTGGGATTCAGTTTGAGTTGGTAGTGTGCTAGGGTGTCGAACGACTCTTGAAGGTCGGAAAAATGCCGACTCACGCTGGGCGACTTGACCACCATGTCGTCTACGTACGCCTCCACATTCCTTCCGAGTTGATCGGCCAGCACCTTGTCCATAAGCCTCTGGTACGTCACCCCTGCATTCTTCAATCCGAAAGGCATCACCTTGTAACAGTAGCTGGCCTGATCAGCCATGAACGTTGTTTTATCTTCATCAGCTGGGTGCATCCTGATCTGATTGTACCCCGAGTACGCGTCCATGAAACTCAACAATTCATACCCCGATGCGTTGTCGACTAGACAATCTATGTTGGGCAGCGAGTATGAATCTTTTGGACAAGCTTTGTTTAAATCGGTGAAGTCCGTGCACATCCTCCAATTTCCGTTACTCTTTCGTACCATTACCACATTCGCCAGCCATGTCGGGTATTGGATTTCTCGAATGTGACCAGCTGTCAACAATTTCTTTGTCTCCTCGGCTATGGCCCTCTTCTTATCCTCTCCAAACTTTCGTCGTTTCTGGATCACCGGTTTCGCATTGGGGTCGACCATTAGACGGTGACATAGAAAGTCGGGATCAATGCCTGGCATGTCGCCAGCACTCCATGCGAAAGCCGACACATTGCTCTTCAATACGATCAGCAACCCTTCCTCATCTTCCTTAGTTAAGGACACACCAATCTTGACCATTTTTCCCTCGGCCAAGCTAACTTCCTTCACGTCTTCTGCTGGGGCTGGTCGGGAATCGAAGTGGGTCATCCTCAGATCCAACTCGATTGATTGGATCCCCCGATCAACCTGTGTCACATATAACTGTCTCCTCGCCCTCAAACTGTCCTCGTAGCACTTCCTTGCGACTTCTTGATCAACACGGAGGACCCCAACCTTCCCGCTGGGTAAAGGGTACTTCAGCTTCAAGTGGGCTGTGGAGACAACTGCTCCCAACTTATTCAATGTCGGTCGTCCGACTAGTATGCTGTAGGACGACTGAGCATTGACCACCAGGTATCGGACAGTGATAGTCTTCATGTAGTCTCCCTGGCTGAAAGTTGTCTCCAAGTCGGCGTATCCCCTAGCTATTACCTGATCACCTGCAAAACCAACTAAAGTACCTGCATATGACATTAGACGGTCAGTCGGAATTTTCATCCCGACGAAAGCTTCCCAGAACATTATGTTTGCCGAGCTGCCCTGGTCCACCAGTACGCGTTTCACATTATAACCCATGACTATCGCCGAGACGACAATCGGGTCATCCTCATGTGGGGACACACCTTCGAAGTCGGCGTCTGAAAAGGTGATAGGAGGCCGAGATGGTTTCACCCGGTCCGAGACGGATAAAACAGACTGAGAGTACCTCTTCCGTGCTGCTGATGTCGGGCCCCCTCCAGCGAATCCTCCCGCTATAGTGTTGAAGTCTCCATGGACAGCTTGCTGGTGAGTCTCTGTACTCTTTCCTGGAGGATCTCTCGGGGGAGACCTCCCCTCTCGCCTCTCTCTTCGCGTGTTTTCTCCTTCACGCATGCGTCACCTGTCGGACGGGCCCTCATCCTGCTTCCCTACAATGAATTTTTTTAAACATCCCTCCTTAATGAGGCGCTCTATCTGTCTACCGAGGACGAAGCAATTCTCGGTAGTATGCACGTGGGTCCGGTGGAATTCGCACAAATCAGTTTTATACGGTCCCAACTGTCTGTCAGTCGCTGCGGGAAACTCGAAAAGTGATGCACTGTTGACGTCATGCAATATGTGTCGCCTGGGAACATTGAGCGGAGTAAACTTCTCCTCTTCCCTGTTATGCATCCACTCGGCTCTTGGCCGACCGACATGATCGGCCTGCTGGTAGTTACCCTCCTTTGTGTTGTAACGATCGCGTCGCTTACTCCAGTCCGACCGCGGTCGGAGATGCTTGTTACTCTCCTTTTTACTGCCTCCTGCCTCTCGGCTCTCCGCTGCTCTCTTACTGATCTGCCCCTCCTCCGTCTTAATGTGGCTTAGTGCGAAAGCTCTTACTTCCGACATCGTCTGGAAATTTGCTCTTTCCAGCGCGACGTCCAATGCACCAGATCTCAGACCTTTCTAGAATGCAATGACAGCCATCCTCTCGTCCAAAGATGCTATGTTCAAGGCGACTTCATTGAAACGCTGCAGGAAGTCCTTCAACGACTCCTCCCGTTGTTGCTTGCGGTCGAACAAGGCCGAAGGAATCGGTGGCTTCTTCTTGTTAGCGGCGAAATGTGCCATGAAAAGCCGACTGAAAATGTCGAAGTCGGTGCTTGATCGGTCAGGGAGGCCGCTGAACCAATCAAGTGTCGCCTTCTTAAGTGTTCCCATAAATAGCTTGCAACGGACTTCCATGTTTCCCCCACATATTAGCATTTGAGCTCGAAAATCCGTCAGATGTTGACTGGGATCCTGCGTTCCATCAAAGGGTTCAATTTGCGGTATCCGATGATCCCTGGGGATGGCCTCGGCCTCTATGGCTTCCGAGAACGGCCGAAAATCCCTAGGGACTTCCAACATGACATTCTCCTCCACCGTTCTGGTACTGGCTTCTATCCTAGCCTGCATCTCATCCGCTCGCCTCCTGATCTCCTCGTTTTCACGTTGGATGGCCTCCTCTCTCTCCCTGGATCGCGCATTCTCCTCCCTTAAGCCATTGATCATGGCCATCATCTCCTCCATGGTTGGTGGTTGTGAGTTGTTGTTATTGTCGCCTCTCGCCATGGTAGGGTGTAGGTTTTTTGTGTTTGTTGGGGCGTAGGAAAAGTTTCACCGTAGCCCCACGGTGGGCGCCAAAATGTTTCGGCCAAAAGGTGGACTAGGGTTTTTTCCCAGATCGTGCCTTAGAGCCAGAGCATTCAAAAGTGTAATCTGCCGTCTTAGCTCTAGGGTTTTAGGTTTTATACTTTTCTGTTCATGGGCTTCGTGGGCCCCGAGATTATCGGGATTCTCCTTAACCGTTCTTATCTCGAGGCCGTGGGGTAAGTGGTGGTTAGTCAAGTCGGGATTTTACCGACAAGGCCCGTACTAAGGGACCTGTCGGGAGGAAGACGAGTGCCCCTCACTGGTGCATGTAATTGAGCCAGGGCCGAGTTGATGTACGCTGGGAAACCAGTCGGATATTAGACGAGTGGGGGGGTCCAGTCGGCATTTTACCGGGAAGGTACACTTGCCTTCCAGCCCTGAGCCAGTAAGGCGAGAGGGCTTGTGGCCTGAGAAACCAGTCGGATATTAGACGAGTGGGGGGGTCCAGTCGGCATTTTACCGGGAAGGTACACTTGCCTTCCAGCCCTGAGCCGGTAAGGCGAGAGGGCTTGTGGCTTGGGAAACTAGTCGGATATTAGACGAGTGGGGGGGGTCCAGTCGGCATTTTACCGAGAAGGTACAGTTATAATTAATAGGATAAAAAATATATATTAAACATTATAGAATATATTAATTTATAAATATTATATAATTAAATTTTTCTATTACTATTATTATTATACAAAATATATTTTAAATCAAATACCTGTACATCACACGGGCAAACATACTACTTAAAACAAATGGAAAATTTTATATAAAATATTTTAATAGTTACCATAATTTACTTAGACATTGAAATGATATTTTTATTATTACCAGATGAAGTGTTAAAGAATCAAGTATAAAATTGAGATTACACGTTGGATGTAAGAATTAACACTATTAACAAAATATGTATATGAACAATTCGGTGTACAAGATAATATTATTATTAACATATTTTAGTTATAATAGGATAAAAAACATATATTAAACATTATAGAATATATTAATTTATAAATATTATATAATTAACTTTTTCTATTACTATTATTATTATACAAAATATATTTTAAATCAAATACCTATACATCACACGGGAAAACATACTTGTTAAAACAAATGGAAAATTTTGAATAAAGTATTTTAATAGTTACTAATCATTATTAAATTTTTACAAATATAAAACAAAGTGCTATAGAAAATAATTAAGAAAACAAATATATCAAATAAAAAAAATAATTTAGATAAAAATATTTTAATAATTACTAATCATTATTCAATATATGAAATATTGTAAAATAAAGAGTACTACTGAAAATAATTAAAAAAATATTAAAACAAATTTATCAAAATAAAATGTAAAATTTAGATAAAAATATTTTAATAATTACTAATGATTATAATTTGGAAAAATAAAAATAAAAAATGTTAATAAATCACTTGACACAAACGGTAGTCTATATAATTATAATCAATAAATAAAAAAATGGTATTACAAATATAAATTTTTTTAAATGGTTTAAATCATAAAAATTTGAATTGTTTACATTCCTGAATTCTTAAATCGCTTAAATCATTTAATTAAAAAATATGAATTGATAAAAAAAAGTAGCTTATATATATAATTATGATCAATAAATAAAAATTTGTATTAGCAAATGTCAAAATTCTTAAATGGCTTAAATAATAAAAAAAATTTGAAATATTTTCATTCATGAATTCTTAAATTAATTAATTAAGAAACATTACATTATTAATCAAAGTTAATAATTTTTTAATAGTATTATTTACCGTAAAAAATTATTATAATAATTTATTTACCGTAAAAGTATTTAGTCACTTAGAAATGATTCGCTTATAAAGGTTTTATCCAAAATTAAAAAAAAACGGAGTTAGTAATCACTATAAGATTTGAGTTAAAAAAATAATTACATTCAATATTTTAAAAATAAAATATATTTTAATATTTTATCATCATAATTAAACAATTATAGTAATTATATTATATTGTAAATATTGAAAATAGTTAGTAATCATTATCAGGTTTAAGTTTTAATTTTATTATTAATTACTAACAATTACAAATATTATTATTAATAATTAATAATTATTTTTTGTTCCAAAAATTATTCTTCTATATATTTAAACTTCGATAGTTATGAATTCAAATATTTTTCTTAAACATATATTTGTAGACACATATATATATACCCAACTCTTACTTTTTTTTGAAGGGTACCCAACTCTTACTTATTATTTACTATTTCTAGAATATAGGTCAGATAATAATCATTGTATTTAGCTAATAAAAGAAAATAATGACTAAATGATTTTTGGATGCTTAGGTTATATTATGAATGTTTAAATACTAGGTTTCATTATTATAATAGAAGAATAATATCAAGAATTGAATATTTGTATTTTATGTTAATCAGAGGAAATATGAAAATAAATATCTGGGTGTGATTTAAAAAATGCAACAAATAGAACGGATTATGAGAATAAGGTGACTCAATAAGTTAATAAGTATGAAAAAACAATAGTTTAAAATTGAAAAAAGAAGATGCATGTGGAAACTTTTCAATCAGTTATAGTTAGTTAATTACTAACAATAACTAATTGTAGTTAAGTAACTGTGGCGCATTGTATCTTCTTTTTTTTTTTTTTTTTGGATGCTTGGAAGCATCAAAATTAGTAACTATAAAAACTATAGAAATGAAGGTCCAAATGCGTGGTTAGAATTCAATAATCTTGCATTGGACTCTTCTTGCATTCTTTCGCACAGCAACATACTCTACATTTCTGAAGTCATGGTGTCTCGTTCTTTGCGACCACAACAATCGTCATTTGTTGAATTTGACCCCTCGAATCCTTTGGAATTTCTCTGCAAAGCATTGGATATGGTGGCTCGAAGAAGCGACTTTCTTGAAAATGACTCAGCGGAGAAGGAGATTGTGTCCGCGCTGCGCAGAGCCAAAGAGACTGTGTTGAACGAAAAGAAGGCTGCAATGGCTGAGAAGAAAGACAAGGAAGTGAAAACCTACGAAGACAAAACGAAGGATGCAGTGGTTGAGAAGAAAGACAAGGAAGTGAAAACCTACGAAGAGAAAGAGAACCCTAGTCAGTCTTTAACACTTTCTTTTTTATGTCATTTGTATTATCATTATTTTATTTTATTTTCTTCTCTTTAATTTTGTTATTTTTTATTTTGTGTTCCTTTTCAATGGGTGGACAGGGCCAAACAGTGGCGTAGGTATAGATTTAGAAAATTATTCGTGGCAACAGACTCTTAAAGAGGTCATAATTCTTCTTCCTTTGCCTGCTGGAATGAGTTATGAAAATGTTGACTTATCCATAAAGGAGAACCATCTGAAAATTGGATTCCACGGTCAACCACCCATTATCGATGTAAGTTAATTTATATAATTTTTTTTGCTATTATCGATGTAAGTTTATATAATTTTTTGCTTAATTATTCATCCTTTCTTGCATGTTATATATTTTTCTTGATTTGTAATTTTAAAAATTTTCAGGGTGAGCTGTTTGCACCCCTCATTGAAGATGAATGTTATTGTTGCGGTAAACAATCACTAAATTATATCCACCAAAAATTACTTTAAGTAATAATTATTATTTATTACATTTTGTTCGGTTTTATTTTGAGGTGAGGGATATTATAGTGTGTGCATGAGCTAATATTGAGGGTTACTTGCTTGGTTTACTATTGTAGTGAGAGCTAATGATCTTTTAATAGTGTCACTCATTGTCTACAAATATATATTGCAGAAGATGATCACGATACAGTTTATATTCTTTTGACCAAGCAAAATCAATTGGAGTTGTGGAAAAGTGTGATAAAGGGTGATCCTGAACTCTTTATCCCAACATTTGAAACTCTGGGTCCTGATTTTCCCGATCCCGATCCCGAAACTCGAAGGGAAATCAAAAGAATTATGGTAATTGATTGATTATTGTTACTTGTCAATATTTTAACTTGCACTTGGTTTGATATTTTAGTTCTTTTCATGGGGAGTGACTTTCATCTATATTTACTGGGATCAACATTATTAAAATTAATATAATATATATCGATTATTTGGTATATTTAATTCAAGTTGTGTTAGGAATGATTTTACAGAGCAGCAAAAATCTCTATAGGTTTATTATAGAAAAAAAAGAAGGAAAAAGAGCATATTGTACATATTATTAGCTGACTAAATCGAGAATGCTAGTTAAATTTGTCATTATGTTGAAAATTCTTTAAATAAGACCTCTATTGTTTAATAGAGAGAAATTTTGTAAAATTTATATAATCTGAGGTTTTCTATACCAAAAGGAGACTGCTCTTTTTGGGGTATACTTGGATAACATGGTTCTTATAGGAATTTTGTTCATAATCAATATAGAAATTATTCAGTTGTTCAGTCTTATTGTGTGATTCTGCAGTTCTTTGTTAAGATTTTGTTCTTCTTTTCCTTTCTCAAGAAGAGATTCCTAACGAGTTGCTTGTCATATATATACTATCCGATGAAAGACAATTTGCCTCTTTTAATTTGTTCAGTCATGTTTTTGTGTCACATTGAGTTGTGCCTAAAACATATATTGAAATGACATTGTTTTGGATTTTAGAATATGTTTTGGTTAATTTGTTCAGTATTGTACAGTTTGAGACGACACTGAGGCGTATGGGCTACCATAAATTTAGAGTTTAAATGAGCAACAGCTCAAGAAGTATCGGAGGAAAATTCACCATGTAGAAACATATAAAAGCCAGCACTGATGCAATATCAGTTATTTGGTATGTTTAATTAAAGTTAATTGTCATACTATCTAAACATATATACTAATGAATTTACCTTATTTTGCAGAATCCAAAGAGATGGACCTCATATGGTGTTGAGATCATGTTGCTTTTTATTTTCTTTTTTCTTTGGGTCTGACCTTTGATACATATTGTGGCGATACCATTGATATAATGGTGGCACCAAAATTTTACGATAAACTTTGTTCATAATAGTTGATAGTTGATAGTTGATTCTGGGAAAAATAAACATATACGGGATGAAATGTTTGCTGTTCTCTTATTTTGTCTTTTGGAATAATGTTCTCTAAGCTCATATTCTCGTATTAGTTATTCTCTATGCGCTTTTGATTGAACTACTTAATGAACAAAAGTATTCGGAGTTTGGCCCATGTTACGTAATTGTGATCTTATTTTCACTATCCCTAAAAATGATATTATGAAAACCAATTCTATATTGAAGTAAACATTCTTGATCACTTACCAGTCGTGTGCGCAAGACAGATTTGACACTAATAAGTAACCAGTATAACATGAATTATTTTGGTGTAAAAGTTGAGTTAAAATATTTGAAAAACTTTTACTTCGAACATTGATTAAAAATTTTGAATCACTGCATTTGATTAATTAGTTTAGGGTTTGACTATTTTTTGAATTATAATAAATAACATTCTTGATTATTAGTGGGAGAAAGACACTATATATATGTGTCTTTATTATTTTTTTTATAAAATAATGAAATAGTTAAAAAAAATAAAAATTTATGAACCAAAATTAATAAAATATAAATTTACGTTACTGAGAGAAAAAGTTCAAGGTCTAAAGATAAAAATTGACATAAATTTATAAACTAAAATTAATAAAAAAAAAAATATTTGAGACTAAAAATTTTCTTATTTTAATTAATTATTATTTTAGTTTGTGTAATAGACAAGTTGAATATTTATTATATATAACTAAAATTTAAAATAAATTATGTATATAAATAAATATTATATTTGAATATATAAATTATATATTAAATTTGAATAAATAAATATTTTAAATATAAAATTATATTTTAAATTTATGATAAGTAATTTATATTCTAGTAAAATATTATTCTTATTTATTTATAGTTTATTTTAAAAATCATAAAATAATATATAAAAAATTATGATAAATAAGATTTAAATTATATATTAAATTAAAAAAAAAACTTTTTAAAATTCTTCATCGAAGTAAAATCCTGAAAATATTAACATACAAAAAAGCCATTAGTGTTATACATAGAAGTAAATATTAAAATTGAATTTATAAATAATTATGATAAATAAAAAATATTAAAAATAAGGCACGATACAACATTATGATTAGCACTTCTCAACTCTTTCGTCCTAGTTTCTACATTTCGAAAAGCTTATTGGAAGGGAGACACCTTGCGTTCAAGATTCTGGACGGTTACCAAGCTAAGTCTTTGCTTCTTGCAAGCTGGACGATTTACGCCTGAAACTAGTTTATTTATGGAATAAAGTTTCTGGTTGGAAGTTGGTATATATCTTTGGGAAAAAAGGAGTTTTTGAATTTGTTTTCAAGAATAAAGATGATCGTGTCTTGCATCCAATTCGTCGAAGACTCCTCAACGCATTACGTGAAAGAAGCATAATAAGATGAGTCGAGGACTCCCTGGCACATTGTAATAGTTGACATAGTATGAGATGATACTTCAGGTATTATAACCTTAATGGATCCAGTTATGCGCCTAATTCCGCTAAGGATAATATAAGTAATGTTGGTTAGTAATAGAAATGACACTTTTTTGCATGATTACTAAAATTACTAGTTATTGACCTGTCTAAATCTCAAAGATTAACTTGAATATTGGAGTATCTTTTGCAGATATCCATTTGTCCCATTATCGCAACTCGAAAATTTTTAATCTTGTGATCTATGGTTTAGACATTCAATTGAAAATCTCATCAATTAGGGAATGCTCGGAAACCAAACTTATCCCTAATTAATGTTTTTGAAAATGATTCATGGAGTCGCCACCAATGTTTTACTCAAAAAATTGGAAAAAAAAAAGTTTTTAAAGATCCAATAATGACCTTGATAACCAGAATTGAGTTCGGGGTCGATTACTTGTAGGGAAGGTATTAAGCACCCCTGCAACGCCCTTAATCGGTACCCTTATGATGAAGATAATGTAATAAGAATTAATAGTTTAACTATTTACTCCCCTTTACTAATGATTATTTACATGAAATTTAAATTACACGATGAACCCTAAGATATCTACATGATTGCGTTTATTATAGCAACATTTGAAATAAAAGAAGAGAAAGACGGAGCAAGAAATTGATGAGTAATACCTCGTAGCAAGCTTCATTTGATCTTCAACTATGGAGATTTAGGTGCTTTGTGGCAACCCTTCACACTACACAAATACCTCACAAATCTCAAGAAATACAATAGAAGGGAGAAAGAGATAGAAATTTCGAGCTCTAAGGAGTCTTGGACGAAATTTTGAGGCCCTGAGAACAGTGCCCGAGTCTACTATTTATAGACATCAAAAATTTATCAGAATGGCACGTTCTAGATTCGAAACGACCCGTTCTGGATCTATACGTTATGTGTTAATTTTGCCTCCTGGAACGACCCATTTTGAAACTAGAACAACCCGTTCCAGAGTTGAGTTTAACACATAAATGCTTATGCTGGAATGGCCTGTTCTAAACTAAGGTTTTAGCCTCTTTTGTAACTTGGAACGACTTGTTCCTGTTTTGGGAACGACTCGTTCCAAACTTAGGTTTTAGCCTTTTTATGAACTTGGAATGGCTCGTTCCAGTTTTGGAACGACCCATTCCAAACTAGGGTTTTAGGCCTTTTTTGTAACTTGGAACGGTCCTTTCTAGTTTGGGAACGACTTGTTTCGGGCTACTAAAACCAACTTATTTGGGCTTTAGGCTTTCTGATGTCATGTCCTATTGTTTCCATGCTTCGGGAGCTTCTTTCATTGATAATAGACGTCCATTTCCTTGTTTTTATACGCCCGGAAGAAATTGGGTGTCTATAGCTGCCCCTCTTTACTTGTCCTTTGGAATAGCTATGTGTTTTTTTTCAAAGGCAAGTAAAGACGTAAACATTTCATTTGGGTCTTCTCCTAGTCTATTTTGTGTTGGTGCTTCTGCGTTGTTTCCCTTGGAGAGGTGTATTTGCTTGTATCCTCGCCCTACAGAGTAGTTGAGTGTTGGTTGCGTACTCTATTGGGTAATAAGGCTGACAAACTGTACACCTGAGTTTCAGTCTTCGAGTAGAAGCTCCACTGTTTCTCTTGTGATAATGCGCTCTTTTAATTGTAGCTTGTTAAAAAGGGAGTATTATTATGGCTGGCCTCTCCAGGTTGCCTGCTGATGCTGAGTATTATTATGGCTGACCTTTCTAGGCTGCCTACTGATGTTGAGTATTATTATACCTGACCTTTCCAGGTTGCCTGCTGAATGCTGAGTATTATTATGTCTAGCCTCTCCAGGTTTCCTACTGAATGTTGGGTGTTAATGTTGAGTATTATTATGCCTGGCCTCTCCAAGCTGCCTGCTAAATGTTGAGTATTATTATGTCTGGCCTCTCCAGGCTGCCTGCTGAATACTAAGTATTATTATGCCTGACCTCTCTAGACTGCTTGTTGAATGTTGAGTATTATTATTACTGGCCTCTCTAGGTCGCCTGCTGAATGCTAAGTATTATTATGCCTAGCCTCTCCAGGCTGCCTACTAAATGCTGAGTATTATTATGCCTGGCGTCTCCAGGCTGCGTGTTGATTCTTATGATTTGTGCCTCTTTTCTTTGGGGAGGACGTTTGATGAAGACTTGGATTGCTCGTAGGTGGTGCCCTTGTGCTGGTGGGCAAAGGAGTAGATGGGTGACATGGATTCTGGTGCTGCCCCTGCCATGTGAGTATTGTGATGCCTCTCCAGGCATTTGTTGTGGAGTCCTTTCGGTTCGTTGATGACTAATTGTTTATGCTTTCCTAATTGATGATTGTTGATGCCCCTAGTTTGGGCTGCTTTTGCCTTTTGTCAGGATGCAAAAAATGCTGGATGTTATTCATGCAGGATTTTTATTTATTTATTTATAAATAATCCCCTTTGGATAAAGAAAACTTTCTAAGTGTGTGAATTGCTTTTGGATGCGTGCAACGCATGTTTTGATTTTAGTTTTTTTTAGAAGGTGGCTCTCCTTTTCTCCTTCTCACGAAGAGACTGCTTCGATTGATGCACAACTTTAGTTGTATTGGCCATTTGATGTATTGAACCATCTTGGGGCTCCCTCTTTTTTATGTTTAGAGACCCTAACTTTTGCCTAGGTTGTATCTTAGCAGGTATTTTTTCTCTTTTTATTTGCCCTAATTTTTGCCTAGGCCGCCCTTTACAGGTTTTCATCCCAGCAGGTCATTTTCATTTTTTTGTTGACATGTTCAATTTTGACAACCATAAAAAATATACGTCATTATGATTGGACAAGACAAAAAGGACGGGAAAGGATGATTTATAATGGGTGGTTGAGGTAGGTCAGTGTTTAGGTTTTTTTTTTTTTAAAACAAACATTTCCTTGGATAATTATTATAATCATTCTCCTAATTATTTTGGACTACATGTCTGAGTCTTAGGCAAAGTCTTCATATTTTGGCCTCTCATAGAAGTATTCAAGCCGCATTTTAGATTCGAGCTTGGAGAGTCATCACTTACTATTTTTTTTAGATCCCTAATTTTTGCATAGGACATGTCCTACCTGGAACTTTTGATCTTTTTTTTTTTTTGGCTTAGGACGCCCTTTGCGGGTTTTCATCCTAGTGGTATTTTACAAGTGACGTTTTTCAGGCATAATACTTCTTTGCTTTAACAAAACTTCTTGCCATCCATATTTGGGAAGACTAGTGCCTTCTACCCTCATCCCATACACCAAGGAGAAAGATGCTGCCTCAGCCTATGGGTGTCGAGAGTCTTTTCATGGACCAAGATTTGTGTTTTCTTTGTCGACCAAAAATGAGTTGAAATGATTATTATATTTTTGTGTAAGACTCCTCTTGTGCGATGAGAATCTTATGGTTCTGCATTTGATCACTTTCTCATCTTTGTGTGTTTCAAGGAAGTGATTTCCTTATCTTCCTTAGACTCATATAATTTTGTTATCTTCAGTCATGTTTGTTTTTATTTCATGGTGATTGATTTTGGAATTTAATGTGTGACACAAGAG